TATATAGCGCTTAGTAACGTACACGTGTTACTTAACAGCCTCAAAGTAACGTACACATAGCGCCTAAGTAACGTACATAGCTCTTAGCAGTCTTAAAGTGACGAACATTTGACTCTTAGCGACGTCAAAGTAAAGTATACACACAGAGGTGGATTATTATTTAGGAAATTGAGGCTGAAGCCTCAGGCCCAATGCTTGAGGAGGCCCCAGTCAGTTCAGTAAATAAAATAAAATTTCATATAAATATATAGTGATGTAATATTAAAATATCAATTGTAAAATAATCATAAAAATATATTCCATATTAGCCAAGGCATCGTACGTGTGAATTGTGTAAATGCACTATGTACTATACATGTACATTGCTAATAAATATCTATAGAAAAGAACCTCCAAAATAAAATTAACCTCGGGCCACATATACAATTAATCCGCCCCTGTATACATACTGTTTAGTAACCTCAAAGTAACGCACACATAGTGTTTAGGAAACTCTAATTAGCGTACACGTGGCTTTCAACAACCCCGAAGTAACGTACACACATAGCTCTTCACAACCTCAAATTCACGTACACACTGCTTAGTAGTATGAAAAACGTATTTAAGTGTTTATCAACTTGTAAGGGACGTGTAAGTAGCGCTTAGCAGTATATATGAAACGTATGTATTGTGCTTATCAACTTCTAAAACACGTGTAACTAGCACTTAGCAGCCTCTAAGGAGCATATAATCCTTACTACACTAAGGAGAATATATATAATGCTTAACAAGCTCTTGGGGTGCATACGCACGTCGACCTCAGACAATGGGGAGGGGGAGAGAATGATGTAACCATTGTTTTATGTTAAATTATTTAGAGATTTAAATAAGCGTCCTTTTCAGGACATTAATTATAAGAAAAGTATGATTAAATACAGAATTAATGAATTAAGATTTTATACATAAACCGACTGTACTAAATCTAGCCACTGATTACATGTTGAGACATGTATGATGATCTCATCATGATTGTGGTTCCACCTCATGGAAATATGATGTCATGTTCGCCTGTCATGGCGGCCAAGCAACATGCACTCTGTTGATACTTCGTGGACATCATCATCTTTGGTGACATCATCGCATGGCGCACGCGCCCTCTGGTGACACTTGTAACTGTGACGTGATCGTCTCTGGTGGCGTCATTGTCTCCCTCATTGCCTGATGTATTTAGAAAAAGAAGACACTACAATATAATGTTTCGCCACCATAACGTGGTACATTACATAATGGTACAACACTTTTATACAGAATCACAAACACCCACACACTAATGACGTTGTACATCAATCTTGGCCTTAAAATGAATATATATCTACCCCCTTTCATTTTATTAATTGGAGACTTTATATATTTACTACAATAGCTTAATGTGTTTTACATTTATTAACATTAGGGTTATGGAAACTAAGTATTGTATTTTTATTTTCACTGTGATGAAGTGTATTTTTAAAATACTGATAGACATTTGATGGAGCACGTCAATGTTCTTCTATTCTTGAATTTAAATGCCACCCAATCTCTTTAGTGTAAAGACTATTACAATCCATACATGCTGTACTGTAAACAATATATCTCCATTTAAATTACAAATGATTTAATCCTTTTCTTCCAAAATAGAAAATTCATCATTTTTTTTTTCCTGGTAAAACAACAAATTTTACTGTGATGGAAAGTTTATAATTTTTTTCTGTCTGTTGCTCTATCGTTTTAGTTGCAGTTTATAAAACCAGGTACATGTGGAATGACACAGGAAACCGAGTTATCTGAATGTATTTTCGTTTTCGAAAACTTTTTCAGTAATTAAATATTTGGAACAACATTAATGGGTGAACTCTCTTTTCATGAAAGCGCTTTCCAAATAATTTATTTCTTCATATAATCCTTTGGTCTCCAGGTAGGGTAGGGGTAGGTTTGTTTACAACGCTAAAACCCTGTATTTAATTCCATAGCGCAGACAGCTAATTGTATAGCTTTGCGCTAAAAATCATCAAAAATTTCAACAACCAACAACGTATAACACCTTTTTTGAATTACAATAATTCTAATTATATAGCTCCAATTTTTGTGCCTTGGAACAAGCCGAAATCCAATTCACATAAAGATCAGTGTGACTTTTGTTTTCTAAATGCTTTTGTCTTGAAAGCATCATTTACTTTTTAACCATAATGCTAAGGAAACTGGCTCTTGTTTGAAGACATCCACAACATCAGGACTAACCAAAACGCTGTGAGGATTAAATGTATTCAATAGGTCAATAAAATGGCCTGTTTTTTGTATTTTTTAAAATATTCTTACCCTGTAAGGCATAAGGTTCAAACACCAAGTCTAAAAGTTTACCCAATATATAGTTAGAGGCGCCTCTGATTTAGACAAAAAGGGTTAAGAAGTATGTCTTTTGACATTCATAAATATAAAGTGTTTTAGCATCACTTTACCTTAACTACTAGTAAAGTAAGTCTAATAAGAAATGGTATAATTTTCTTTCCTCATAATAATCCACCACAACAACGGAATTACCTTTGTCAGCTTTCCTAACGACAGCGTCTTTATTATTTCCTAGTTATCTTATAACATTAATTCACTATTTTATTAAATTTGATGTTAAGCATTTTTATTTACTCACCAGTCTTCGTACTTTATCAGATAAATGATTTTCTATGCATGATTAAACCTATCCTTTGACACTTTTGAAAAATGAACATAATCACTCCTGTAACAGAATGATCCTTTGCTCCCTTTTTCCTGGATGCATTATTTTCTTTTTATCTCCGTTCCTTTTTAACTGAATAAATATTTTTCTAGCCAAATTTTCCAGTCCAGTTTTATATCCAACTTCTAACAAAGAAATTAGTTTGGGGAAAAATCAACATTTTTTTTCAAACAACAGTAACTGATCAGGTGCTCACTCAGTTGAAGAACACTTGTAAACAATGGGTGCTAGTCTTGTTTACAGTTTCAAGCAAATCATTACTACAGTCATTGTTACAAATTGCGAAAAATGGGGTACTACTCTTGTTTACAGTTTCAAGCAACTCATTTCTTCAGTCATTGTGACAAATTGTGAAAAAATGGGGTGCTAGTCTTATTTACAGTTTCAAGCAAATCATTACTACAGTCATTGTTACAAATTGTAAAAAATGGGGTACTACTCTTATTTACAATTTCAAGCAAATCATTTCTACAGCCATTGTTACAAATTGTGAAAAATGGGATGCTAGTCTAATTTACAGTTTCAAGCAACTCATTACTACGGTCATTGTTACAAATTGTGATAAATGGGGTGCTAGTCTTATTTACAATTTCAAGCAAATCATTTCTACAGCCATTGTTACAAATTGTGAAAAATGGGATGCTAGTCTAATTTACAGTTTCAAGCAAATCATTTCTACAGCCATTGTTACAAATTGTGAAAAATGGGATGCTAGTCTAATTTACAGTTTCAAGCAACTCATTACTACGGTCATTGTTACAAATTATGAAAAATGGGGTGCTAGTCTTATTTACAATTTCAAGCAAATCATTTCTACAGTCATTGTTACAAATTGTGAAAAATGGGGTGCTAGTCTTATTTACAGTTTCAAGCAAATCATTTCTACAGTCATTGTGACAAATTGTGATAAATGGGGTGCTAGTCTTATTTACACTTTCAGTAAATCATTACTGTCACTGTTACGAATTCTTTTCCTGGGATTATTAACTTTTTTAATTATCTCAGATAATTTGTTTGTCTGAAAACTCTACCGTCTGTTGAATAGGATATGACGAAAAGGCGGAATCTGCAGGTGTGACCAGCCTCGCCAAAGTACCTCCTAGCAGTTACATTTTATTATATAAAAACAACTTTGTTCTTGATACTTTAGTCATTTGTGCTAACTTACTAATTTATTTTGCACAATTAACAATAACTTTTCATAAATTTTAAGTGAGTAACTTAGAAGAACGAAATTTTCAAATAAATACTTCGTTTTTATAGGTATTGAGAAAAGTTATACCCATCTCATTTCTCCTATTTCTTAAACGAATATTCGGTAAATTTCTAAAAGTTCATCTCTTCTATTTCGTAAACGAGTCTCTATAACGACTTAAAATAAATCCAAACCCAAATTAACCCATCGTTTTGTTTCAATAATAGAATCCACAGGACAAGAGAACGTATAATTAGGAAGCATAACGTCAATGATATACTGCAAAAGGTAATGTAAAGCCCCCAGTGTCACAGCGGTATGTCTGCGGACTTACAACGCTATAAACCGGGTTTCAATACCCGTGGTTGGCAGAACACAGATACCCCATTGTGTAGCTTTGTGTCACCAAAGCACTTTCCAAATACTTCAATTCTTCATATAACCCTTTTGTTCCTCGATGGATCAGCCTTAAGTTTGCTTACAACTCTAAATTTCGTGGTTCGATTTTCCACGGTGATCAGAGCGTAGATAGGCTTTGCGCTAAAAATCAGTGATGTGTCGTTGTGTAATGTAAGAGAGGATGTCACATTACTTATAATATCCCCAGTAGGTGTATAGAAACATGTTTTACCAATGTGTAGGGTAAGAAATGATGCTATGTTATTTATGATTTCGCCACTAGGTGTATAGAAACGTTTTACCGTTGCGTTATGTACGAGATGGTACTACGTTAATGGTGACGAAACGGTTTTTGAATTGTGGTGTGTTATTTTTTTAATCCCGATCTTAGTTGTTTAAAAATTTTCAAACATATATATATATAAAGTGTATAAAGCATTCTGCGAAAAAAAGCCTTTGGTCTAACATTGTACTTTTTTATTAATCATTTCTCACAAGAATCTGTAGACATGAAACAGGGAACCTATGAAAGACACTCTCTTGTGCAAAATTTAACACATGACGCATTTCTGCCTATATAACTCAACATAGCGAAAAGGACAATAAATTATTCACAGATGGCTTCAGTCAGCATAAGTGTTTCGAACAGGAAAATGAGTGACGTATTTAAAATAACTACTCTCGCTTTAAAGCGTTTTCCAAATGGTTGTCGCAAAATCAAACCTCGACGTGAATATATGAAGCAACAAATAGCGTCATAAAGTAGAAAACCTATTCACTTTTTTGCAGTAAATCGAAAGTAACAGTAGTGTTGATATATAGACACTCTGGAGGAGTGGGAGGGGTTTGATATCCCATTGTGTTTTTCCGTTTTTAATAGCATGTAACTTAGCCTGGTCGTTGTATGAAAATTTTAGCACACATCTCGCTGTAACAGTATATGATTTGGTGTAAATGGCTAGACGATCTTTGTCTAACTTATTGATATAGACCAAACTTTCGGTAGTGTGTAACAGCAGGATAGATGCAGGGGCTTTTTTGATGAATACTTTACTACTAAGCAGTCAGGAAATATAAAAATTACAATTCAAATATAAAACTTATTATTGCTATTTATTATAATATTAGAATATTTCATCATTTTTAGCGAACTTTAAAATAGAAAATTATGTAAATTAAACCGAACACCAAGTGAGCAAATTTTTCGAATCTAATGAACATGAACACAAACACACTAAGTAACTTTATCCATAAATTATTCTACTTTTAAATAAAAGCCAATTCAAGTAGTTGTTTCGATATTCAATAAAGAATACCTGATAAGCAGGATTAACACACATAGGGGGAATGTAGGATAAGATGTCCACCTTAAATTGGAATTCGGTTTTAACCAATAAAGATGAATGTCACATCGTAAAGCAAAAGGTTTCAAAATAACCGTATTTTATTATAAATTTTATTTCTAACTAAAACAAAGTTTTCACATAGAACTTTTTAATGGATATTGAGAAACTCCATTTCTTATGGTTGGAGCCGTTTTGCCAATAAGGTTGGATAAAACGGCCTTCAGATTGGGGTAAAATTACCTCATTTAACTCATTACAATTTAAAATAAATGTTGCATTTAACAAATGCAGTGAAATAATTTAAATGGTCATTGAAATGCCAATTTTCTCTAAAGTGACAGAGTAGGAAATCTTGACAGTTACTTTGCAATGACAGAATTGGAAACACTGCCAGTTTTAATAGTTTCTTCTAAGTCTCGGAAAAGCCATGCACCATGTACAAGTTGCAAATTATCGAGGATAGCTACGTAAAATAAAAATGGGTGCTAGTGTGGGGCAATGACGAACATTGTGACCGAAACCTATGGCAGAATTATACGCATGGAGGGGACGTCTTATCTAATCCATTCAACGTAATGCAGTTGCACGTTATAAAAATCAGTGAACTTGAACCGAGTAGTCTTTTCGGGCAATTTTTTTCTTTTCAAGAGGTACCAACTTAAATATATGTATATATATACTAATAAAGTTATTTGGGAACATCGTTTTATCTCTTACAGTGAGACATGTGCAACATTCAAAGTACAAATACATTCATATACACCCTATCAAATAATCCTATTTAAGATAATACAAACTCTATCTGTGATTTTTTTATGTAAATACCTTAATAGAAATATAACGGTGCTTCTGGTGATTTAGTTTTAGGTTTTAATTCTATTGTCAGTTTCGGTTTGTGTTTTAGTGAAAGTTCCTGAAGAAGCTGTAAAACGGCGAAAGGTTGTGTCTAATTATAAAAAAAAAAAAATGGTGTAATAAGATCGTTTATTTCTGGTATAAATATGTCTTCTATACACCAATATGCACTACAAAAATTGAATAATATTGATACATTCGACTGTATATAACTCCTCATTATTGTAAATCAACAAAGCGAAATTCTCTGAAGTATCTACTTTGTAACAATAACAAATTGAAAGTGCTTACCGTAAATCAAAGTTGTTCAAGAACAAAAATTGAAGTGATGTTTTGATTATCATATTCGTGCCCATCCACGAGTGTTTTTATGTACAAGATGATATATACAATAGTTATATATTTTTTACTCTAGATAGCAGCACGTCATAACTGACAATATACAAGAGTGGTCGTTTTACAGAAGGGGATCGTCTTATCTCATGTTCCCCTAGCTGATTAATTAATAACAATTTGTTTCAAAACCAAATCCTGGAGAAACACGAATCTGGGTTCGTTGATATATTTGTATCTGACTTTAACAATATTTGCGCCGGTTGGGGTTTCTTCGGACGAACCAATTAAAAGTGTGGTGGGATGTCCTACAGAGTAGACAAATATTGCTGTTGTGGTTGTTACTTGGTCACTAGCGTGTCTAAAAGTAACACATTAAGTCATTATTTTGCGGAAAATATTAGCATAATATATTTATTAAAACTGCCTCAAAAGTTAACTTATTTGTGCAAAAAAAATCATTCATAGTAAGAAAAAAAAAAGAATGTGTTTTTGATAAATCAACAAGTAATGAAAATAAGACAAACTAATTGAAGATACCCTTAATTGTAAAACCACATTAGAAATAAAAAGATAAAAAAAAATTATTTCAGTAATTTTTGTATCCTTCATCTACTATTTCATTCGATATAGTTTTCTGTAACATGTTAGTTTGTATCCAGTCTCACAAAAAATGGGAAAAATACTCAACAATACAAACGTGAGACATGTTTGTAATTGTTGACTGCAGTTCATAATCCTCGCGGTCAGTTGAGCCTTAACATATTTTAATCAGACACTTTGCATGTAAAACTAGTATTTTTTATAACCTTACTTAAAAGTAAAAACGACAACAAGAAAAACATGGAACAACTTGTAACATTCTTAAACTGAAACTCTTACCTGAATAATAGAAAGACGTCTTCACTGTGTAAATAAACACCGATGCGTATGGAATATTCCATATTCATATTCCAATCAGTAATTCCCTGAATACATAATGATTTTAACGCACGTTTGTACTTTAAACAGCTGAAGACCTTTTATCGAAGAAGTTATTTAATCGAGGTGTTAGGATGGTGCATATTAACATCGATAGATTAAAAGAATCTGACCATGACATCTTAGAAAAAATCACAGATCATTTCATCTCCTTGAAGCTGTTCTTTTCTACCCCAAAAGTAACACTTCTCATCAGCTTGTCCAAAGATTTAGCTCCAACATTCGTCATACTGAAGGTAAGGACGTTATGATTAGTAATATAACACTTACTTTCACATACCCTGTTTCTTAATGTATATCTTTAAAGTTGTACCGTTTGTTAAAGTCATGTATGATGAGTATCCGTATATTTTAAGTACCTTATTAGTGATGATACTCGCTTCATCCATTCAACATTTCATAACTAGCGACACGACGTGTACTAGTAAATCATACCCATAGCTAATAATGGACTCTTCGCTCAGTTTTAAAGTGCATTTAGGGGAAAGGTTATTAGGTGCAACGTTCGTGATGGAATGTACGAGAGATTTTGGTTCAACTACTCCTGGGTAATAAAGGGCAGACAAAAGACTTGGAGCTGCTTTGCATGACAGATGGTAGTTTAATCCATAAGATTGTTGTAAAATTGTTGTTGGCTTATACTCATATATATCATAATCTATACTGTGTTTAACTCCTCAGGTGAGACAATTACATGTTAAAATGGGTCCTCAGCAGTAAAACACGAAACATCCTTCATGAGTTATATGCACATACATGTTGAGGTAATACTGTGAATATATGTCTTTACAACAGTTGTGTACTCAGTAACTCAGCTTGTCTCTTTTAACTATAATAATATTTGCAGTTATTTTTTATCTGGAAAGTATGCCAGCTACATTAGTATTACAGCTAAATTAATTTGTAAAAAAAAATTGTTGCATTGGTGGTTAACATCTTTAACAATTTACGTAACAGACAGATAGTTTAATAAATAGAGTTGTTTAAACAAGCTGCCCAGTGTCGGCTAACAATA